ATAAAAGCATTCATTAAAGCTGCTGTAAAACTTGTTAAAAATCCCAAAGAAATATTCACTGAAATTTGTGACATTTACAGCAACCAATTCCTGTTTTATAGACAAATGAGCAGGTGGATTTCAATTATAAAAAATTATATAATGGGCATCAAAAATGGGTACCGTCCTTGCCAACAAAATTTATAACAACTTATGTACTGTTTGCCAAATTTCAACAAATAATATTTGATGATGCATGATTGACTTTAAGACACATAACAAATTTGGTAGACATCATATCGGGAGTAGTTTACTCTGTTTTTAAGAAACGTTTGACGGCAAAAAAGCTTAGTACTCAAAGGTCATTCTATATTTTGAAACTTGAGTGAAAGCGGCAGCGTGTACGAATGTCTTAACAATTACTTTAAAATATCAGTAATTGTAGTTATCCACATCTGTTTGATATTCAAACAGATAACGGAACATGAATCTATTGCTTAAAACCCTCAAAACAAAATTTACCTTAAGATGTACTTGATAACAAACATGGGCGAAAGAAATTTTCAGTAAATGTTTAGTCATCATATTTAAGTGTATCATAATGTTTTTGATAATATATATACAAAAATAAAGATTTTATGCAAGTGCACAAAGCACGGTAAAAATAACAAGGTTGTATTAGAGAATATACAAGTATTTTCGTAATAAAAGTTTTCAATACATAAGATTAGGATGAAAATAATTAATTGATTCCTTAATCAATATCGTCTTTTTGAAAATTTCAAGGCAATTGGTTAAATTTTGGCGGTTTTATTTCTGGAGGAGTCTAGAAAGTTTCCCGAGCATTCGAAATGGAAAAGTTGTATACACAATAGAAGAAAAATGGCGACGTTTCATGACGTTACGGCGCACCGGAGAGCAGTTCAGGTAGATTAGGATGTTTTAATGACACTTTAAAAGACTTTAAATTAATACGGAAGAACGAAAATATGAAAAATATCACCAGATTTTAGTATATAAATAAAATTGACGTTTTCTTAGCGAAGTCTTCTTGATTGAGTCCCCAGATAGTACAAAACATGCGGACAGACTGCCATTGTAATAGTAAAAACGCTGTCACTGTCGACCGTCGATATGGGATTCTGATTTAGTTGACTGATGGTAAGAATACTGTCCGTAACTTGTTTTTTCAGATTAACATGAGTGTGCCACATTGGCTAAACTGGTAATAAATACTCACGTATGTAAATCAATAAAATTTCTAAATTTAAGTGGGGCTTATCCAACTTTATTTTAGCAAATATGAAGCGTGACGCTTTTTTAGACACGTCGACGTTATCATCCGTGCGCCGTAGGGCGCTACAGTACATAACATAAAATATCACAATTTGTTTATTTATGCATATATGTAATTGAAATTTGCTATGCATATTTATAATATATGTACTAAAAAGTAGTGAAACTTTCAGAACGAATGATTATTTTTCAAACTAACAACTTGTCCACGATTTAACGGGACAACCCTCGTTGATAAAAACAGCGAAAGTTGCAGATATGCACAAAGACGGATTTATATGCAATTTTCTTGAATATTAGTGGTATTGTTGTTCAAACCTCGGGGAGACGGTTTTATTTCTATAGAAAGCAATTTTTTGCAAAAAATTCAAAAGCTTTATTGGAGGTAATCAGAATCAGGAATCCACTATATTAAATTTCTTCATGACAGCGTCCAAACCCGCACGCCCTGTAAAGTAAAGGGATTTTGAAAATAGAAGGTTAATGTTTTTTCACATTAACAATATTCGCCAGATCTTTGATCTTTTAACTTGTTTCTATTTCCAAATTTGAAAAAACACCTTTTGAAATCATAGGTATCTGCCATTTTCCAGTATACTAAGGGTCATACCCAAAAATGAGTTCTAAAAACAATCAGAAATTGGATAAAAAATGTTACGGATATTGTTTTAATTGAAAGAGATTTATGAGTAAAATCATGAAGACTAAATCATTGAAAAGCGTCGTTTGCTTGTTTCTGAGCACCTAGGACATTATTTATTGAACAGCCCTCGTATGTGTCAGATCGAAAAGTAAAGGCCCTGTCACACCAAGCCGCTTTCAAACGTCATCACGGCGTTATCAAATTTTTAAAATCGCCGTGGTATCGTGGAAAATTGTACAAATTTCTGTAAAATTTTCACAATATGAAGATGTCACGGCGTCCCTACGGCGACGGACGCGATTCTACGGCGATCTCACGGCGTTCTACTGCGTTCCCACGGAGATCTCTCGGCGATTGACTGCGCTCCCGCGGAGTTTTTGAGTTTTCAGCTCGTGTTCACGGCGTTCTCACTGCGCTGGCTGCGTTTACAATACGTTATGCGTTCTATATTCACTGATATGTATTCAAAATGTAAAACATTTTTGTTTAAAGATTGAAGTTACACGATGAAAAGACTTCTAATCATGCCAAGAAATATTCTTAATAATTAAAAATGTTCTATATTTAAATAATTTAGTATATTATTAATAGTTTTATGATTAAACTCCTTTTTTCAAGCTCAGTTGTGTTGTTAGATTTTCTTTAATTTTATTATGAATGTAAAAAAAAATAAATAAACACACCGAAAAGTTTATTACAAAATTTAAGTGAAACAACAGTACAAGTTCTGGCTCTTGTCTTTCCACCTTTCTGTGGAAAGACCTATTGATATTCTTCTGTTTATTATTCTTTTTTTTTTTATTATTTTTCCGCCGCATGTTTTTTTGTTTGAAGATTTATCGAAAAGATTTATAGTCCATAAGAATGTACTCCGTAGAAGATTATTGCAGTTCACCCTGCGTAAATGTGCCACCCCTTTCGAAGTTATTGCCCCTTTCGCAAGAAATGTTTGTTATCGCTACTTCTCCGAAACCATAAACCGCAGAGATTCCAGACCTTTACTAGTGTTTACGACTGATTTAGTAGACTCTCCAATCAAACATTGCGAAAGGATTCGTTAACTCCTATAATGAATTATTTGAATGTTTGCAATGTTTACGAATATCAAGAACTTTTCTAAAACGACAAGGCGTAGAGACATGGGACCAACTGCAAAAGATTTTACCTTTGACCTTAAAATCTAGGTGAAGGTCAAAGGTCAAGGTCATTCAAAATATGTAAAATTTAGCATTTTTTATAGCTCTTTTGTTCTTAACCAAATTCTAAACATCTTTGCATCTTTAGTATGTACTCTTAAAACCATTTCAGAGATTCCATGCTTGTCCCCTAAAATTGAATCCTCTGAAAAGTGCCCCTTTCAGTGTAAACCCTTGTTATCGCTACTCCTGAAACCACAAACCTTTATTAATGTTTACGACTGATTTAGTGGACTCTCCAATCAAACATTGCGAAAGGATTCGTTAACTCCTATAATGAATTATTGCCCCTGAATGTTTGCAATTTTTAAGAACTTTTCTAAAACGACAAGGCGTAGAGTCATGGGACCAACTGCAAAAGAAATTGACCTTTGACCTTAAAATCTAGGTCAAAGGTCAAGGTCATTCAAAATATGTAAAATTAAGCATTTTTTATAGCTCTTTTGTTCTTAACCAAATTCTAAACATCTTTGTATTTTTAGTATGTACTCTTAAACCCATTTCAGAGATTCCATGCTTGTCCCCAAAGACTGAACCCTATAAAAGTTAGTGCCCCTTTCAGTGTAAACCCTTGTTATCGCTACTCCTCCGAAACCGTAAACCGTAGAGGTACAAAACCTTCAACAATGTCTGCGACTAATTTAGTACACTTCTCATTCTATTAGTGCGAGTTTTCGTAAACCATTTTAAGTAGTTTTTGACACTGACAGTTTCTCATGTTTACGAAGAACTGAAAACTTCTTAACGACAAGTCGTAAAGACATGTGGACAATGCGACCTTTGACCATGAGGATAAGGTCAAGGTCAAAGGTCAAAGTTATTGGGAAAGTATCCAAATTGCTTATAAACTTTTTTTTTGGGGGGGGGGGGTTGTTGTTAAATTATCATGACCCTTGACCTTTGAATGTAAATTTATTTCAATTTTTTTAGATTTAATATCAATTGCATAAATCCAAAACCAAAAAAAAAAAAAAAAAAAAAAAAAAAAAAAAACCGAATTTTCCTCTCAAATAAATTTCCACGCTCTCAGTGACACAGTTTTCTTCATGAAATGCATGTTTCAAGTTTAATTTATGCTGATAACTAATAATACAATCCAAATAGAGATGATTATTTAATTTTACCTATAAGTTCACCATATCTGTCAAAACGAACGCGCCTATATTTTCATAAATAGTAAACATAGTGCCGACACGGAAGTTCGAAGGTATAATAAGCTCTGTATGATTAACTCAAATCTACTCAAAGTATAAACAAACTCAAATGATTTTTTTAAATAGCAAATCGGCATTTCCATTATACACCAATCGTGTTTTCAGAACTATTCATTATTCTTCTCTATGTTCCATCACAAACAAATAAATACAAACACACGCGTGTCTATTTTTGTTTAAATCCATGTGCTTTCATTTCGCCAGTCAAAATTTAATTTTTTTGGATTTTTTTTTTTTTTTTTTTTTCCAACCCAAAGGACACGGAAACACTTAAAAAGGTGGAAAGACGTCTCATTGTTCTCTGAACAATTAGTTTACTAGTTTTCTCTTCCATTTTTTTTTCTTCACTTAAATGCTCCTAGTGCAACAAATACGTTGGAATTATTGCTGATCAAATATGATCCCATCGCTCTTGTTTTGTGAGCTGGCTGACAACGCATTAACAACTCCGTGAAAGCGCATTGTGATCGCCAACGGACGCTGTAGAAACGCCATGGGAGCGCAATGATCGCGGTGACAACTCCGTGCTGTCGTGCTGTAATCGCAGTCGAAAAAATCACAAGACGATAAATCTCATTAGAAGCGCCGTAAAAACGGGATAGAAACGCAGTGACATCTCCGTGAGGTCTCCGTGGAAGCGCAGTCTACTATCACTGCGTTCGTGCCGCGATCATGTGCGTCTTCACGGCGTTCATACGGAGCTCCCACTACGTTGTTGGAGATCTCACCGCGCTGCTACGGCGATCATACCACGTTTCTACCGCGTTCTTATCAGACGGCGATCACACGGCGCGTACTTTGTGCATGCCCAAAGTGATCGCCGTCCCCTGGCGTTCTTGGAGACCCTACGCGACCCTACGGCGTTCAGTGGAGATCTCGCCGCGTTGGCACGGCGCTGTAGGAGACTCTACTGCGATCACCTCGGCGTTTTGCATTTTTTGAGGACGCCGTGCAGTCGCCGTGAGGACGCAGCCCCGGTGTGACAGGGGTTTAAAATAGGAGGTGCGCAATGGCAATATGTAATAAAGATTCTGTGAAAGTTTCATCAAAGTTCATTCAGTGGTATGAGAGGAGTTGCGGATAAGAGATGGGTACCCCTAAGTGTAACAGACGGACGGACATACCGATTACTATATAACCTCCAGCTTTTCAAGCGGGGGGTATAAAAATTAGGGCAAAAGTCTACGAACTTTTTGAATGACCCTCGTACAATCGCTCTCCTCGAAAATTCAAAACTATTGCTATCTATGACAGCATTTTTATACCCCCGCTTGAAAAGCGGGAGGGTATATAGTAATCGGTATGTCCTTCCGTCCGTCTATCTGTACGTCCGTCCGTCTGTTACGCTTTGTGGTACCCATCTCTTATCTGCAACTCCTCTCATACCACTGAAGGAAATTTAATGTAACTTTCACAGAATTTGTATTACATATTGCCATTGTGCACCTCCTATTTTACTTTTTGATATGACAAATATTTTGGATTTTCCAGAGCAAAACATGGACACTGTCATTATATTCATATGGGAGGCGGGGGGTTTCATTTAGTGAGCTTATTGCTCACAGTACCTCTAGTTTCAATAAGGAATAGATGGAATTCGTAAATAACTTATATATAACTTTTCACTTGTCATCTGCAAAATAATTTCGCTGTTAATCAACATGCCAAAGTTTCTGATTGACAATATCTATAAGGTTTTCAAAGATCAAGTCTACCAACAATCTGATAAATTTCCCATGGCCGTGTTAAAGGCAGACTTACTGAAGCAGAATTTATATGTATATGTCTCTCTGTTGATTCGATACGCAAGAGAATGCTTTACGTATGGACAATTTCGAAAAACAAGCAATAGTTTGAAGAACAAGTATTCTGCATTGCATAAGCAATACATGTCCCCTAACGGGTTCCCCTTTTCTTTTTAGGATACAATCTCGTTTGGAACATTAATTTAGTGCATAACGAACCCAATCGCAATCCCAATTATGAAAATTAAAAATGCCATAATTCCGTCAAAAACCAATGAAGCGGAACGAAATTCAAACTTGATCTGTAACCCTTCAAGATACACTCACATACCAAAAACCAAAAAGTGCGGAAAACCGAGTGGGACAGACTGACACACAGATGGAAGGACAGCTAGACAGACGGACTGACAGACTCAGAGGAAACCTATAGTCCCCTCCGGTTTCACCGTTAAGGGAATTATAAGTTGATGATATAAGTATATCAATTGTGCAATTTTAAGTAAACATTTTGAAAGCTTCACTGGTCTATACGAAGACATTGTAATCAAATACAATGTATCGTTAAGTTGGATGCTGATTTTGACATTTTTCCTACAAATTGTTAGCTTATTATGCCACACTGAATAAGGGTAGAATTTTTCCATTGTCTCGATCGAGGAGCGCACGGTGGGTTTGGTGGGTCGAAAAGGGACGCGTTATCCTCCATGGCAAATAATTCAACCTCTGTTGCTTTTTAGAAGTCTGTGTTTGCTCAGCTTATACTTTTTATCTGGGTTATTAGTATAAGCATTCGTTATCTTTATATTTTATAGTCGTTATTAACTCATGGCTAGTACATGTATTTTGATTTAATTGACTCTTTAGCACCTACATGTACATGTAAAGCTATTCAGTGCTTTTGGCGTTTCGTTCCTTGACTTCGAGTCCATAATTGTAATTTATCACTGATAATGACATAGTCATCCAACCAGGAAGCTTGGGCTTGGAGTGTACTTAGTTATCACACAGGCACCAAACCCGCTTGAATTTTTGACCCCCTAGTATATAATAACTTTATGTACTACGGTATACTATGATATAATGTAAGACAAGCTCGTGAATTATACTCACATTTTTTATCGGAAAAGTAAACATTATAATTGTTGTACATAAAAAAAATATGGTTCCTAATATTAACACTACCGTCAATAAATCAGAAAATATCCAAACTGATAACAGAACATACATGTTATGTAAATGTTTATAGTTAACGCATGTACATTTAATTCATTTTTTTATGTATTAATGTGCAGAGTACACAATAGAATTTCGTGTAATTCATGGAATTCAGAAAATATATCCGAAATCTCCGATTGCACATTTAGTGTAAGATATAAAACAAACATCAAGACATGTATTGTTTTAATTTTAAGTATTAAATTGCTTGACTCAGAAGATTTACTCCTATCTCTCCAAATCAAGACAAAGAGGGAGATTTTTTTCCTGTTTATAAGATGCTATAGTTTCAGTCCGATAAAGAAATATTCACGGAGAGAATGAGTCTGAAGAGATTTGTTTCCGTTTGACAAGTGAGGTTTATCAGCAGAGCCGGGCCCCCGGATTGATCGGCGAGGTTTGGTATCCAAACATGGCGAACCAAACATTCCACCAGGTAGGAAAAGCTTTCTGTTGCACTGAAATGATTCTCTGTTATCAGTGATAGGAATAACAATGGCTGGCATACATTTCTTCATCTGCCTTCTGATTTCCTTTTCATCTATATATGGTAAGTGAATACTGGATTCCTCACATCTAAAGAATGATTTGAAATAATATTGAAGAAGTTATGTTTCCATATCCTGTGTTTTCAGTGTGTACAGTACTGAGTAATTCTCACGAGTGTTATAAAGTAGACGGAAACAAAGATGGATTTCTTCCAGGTAAAGTATTCTTTTTTAATTCACAAAAGGCTAATAATAAAACAATTGAAACAATGGTTCTCATATATATGTACATGTGAACCAATTATACAGAAAAATACATTCTACACTTATAAAGGAATTTATAAAATGTTTTTTTTAAAAGAAATATCAATAATATTAAAAACGGAGTACATAAATTTATACACATGCCTTAAAGTATTGCATGTCACGCACATTTTGGCACAAAATTGGTCAATGATTTGGGAAAAGCATTATCAATAATGCAACATTGAAAAAATATTCAAGTTAAGAGAACAGATGTTTAACTGTTAGATAATTATTTAAGCTCACCAATAAGACAAATTTTCCAAGGAATATCCTTAAAACGAGTAGTACACTATCTTCCACAACTGATATGAGAGTAAATTAGTCCGTCTGTTCGCTACATTGTAAAGCTACTGAAAGACATACATTTATAAATTATTTACCTATTTTACTTTTTTTTATTTTCATTTTTTCAATTTATTTATGAGCTTTTAAAGATATAATTGGTATTGGGCGTGAGATTTTTAAAAATGTTTGTTTTAATTTTTTTTAATTTATTTACTTTTGTGCGTATGTGTATAGATACGAAGAAGGTATAATAATGTTGTGTAAATAAATAGGCAAATGAATGGTTGTTTTAACATAAATGACTGTGTGACTGGGCGTCGGCTCTTTATAATGTTGTTGTTTTTATATTAATGGAAAGGACATGTTAGATAAAGCAGGCAATATTTACTTTTGGATATATTACTCAAATTAGATAATTCCCTTGAAACGGTATCCTGCAAAAGGTAGGCACGGGTACGTCTGACATCCGTAGGCCCAATTCTGTAAATAAACAAATGACAAGTATGCGTGATTGCACTCGGACCAAGTTTCACCAGGGCTTCGTTCAAGATAGTAGCAACACGTAGCAGCTACATGTACGCTGCTGAACGCACCCCAGGATTATTCGTGGGTCGTCTAAAAAGTTATGCAACTCCCGGTTTATCATAATAAATGTAGAAACACTGGATTTTTTCACTGTCTACCTGTACGTATTTAATATCTTTTAATTTCCGAAAACAGCATAATATATTTTTAACAGACTTCGGAAGAAGTTTTCATTCAAAGTAAGCACGGTCCTTATAATGAGCTGAAACCTGTACAATAGTCCCTGCCAAGAAGATGAAAACGAGGGCGTCGTGAAAAAAGAAATCATAATAAAAACAAATTTACTACGTACATGTATATGAAGGATGTTGTTTTGATATCTAGAAAGACAAACTTTTCACGACAGTATAATGTTCAGATGGAATGTGAAATTATTTTTTTCCCTACAAGATCGTAGTGCACATGGGACTGGGCAAAAAAAAAATGCAGAGACACCAGAAAAGTACATCCTGTGAGCTGCAATTTGTTTGTGCCATGTTACAACGCACTTTAAAAAATTACGCACTTTGAAAAAAAAATTTCAAAGTGCGTTATATTTGGGACCAAATTAACGCGCTTCGAAAAAATAAAATTTCTTTTCAAAGTGCGTTAATATCGACCATCTTAACGCACTTTGAAAAAAAAATGTATATTCTTACAAATCTTAGGTATGATAAATAATTGAAACTGTTGGATAACTTTTCGGTGTAAAGGTCACTTCAGGATGTGAAAATGAGCGATTTTGATTTTTCCATACTTTGAAAATTTTTTCTCTCCTAAATGTTTTATTGTGCTTATTCTTTTTCCAGTTTGCATGCATTTATTTACTGAAAGTTTTCAACGTCACAATAGTTATGCAAATACATATATCTGGGTGTAGTATAGGCATCGGTACCGGGAGGGGGGCTTAGTAAACACACAATTTTTTTTACAAAGATATACATAATATAGACATTGAAAATTTGAGCTTACCTTTAGGGGGGGGTTGTCCACGTTCAATTTGCTACCGTCGGCTTTGTAAAAAAAAAGAGTTGGGCTGAGAGACCTTCTACTCGTCTTCTCTTTTGTCTCAATGAAGTTAACTCAATACATGTAAATTAAAAAGTTTTTTCGAAAGATATAATTATTACAAAATAATTCTCTCCATTACTAAAATCTTAGTCTAGAATTTTTGTATTATACATATTTTTTTAAAGTGCGTTAAATTTCCCCTTGGTAAAAAATGTTGATGTACACTCTTAACGCACTTTGAAAAAAATTTTCAAAGAGCGTTGAGTGTGTCCCAAATTGAACGCACTTTGAAAATTTTTTTTTCAAATGCGTTGATTTTGTCCTAATTTTAACGCACTTTGAAATTTTTTTCAAACTGCGTAATGTTTTTAAAGTGCGTTGCCACAGTGCCAGTTTTATCGTGAAAGACATTGGTTAGACATCATCGTCGTAGTTTATCGAGATTTGTCTGAAAAAAGAAATCTGAATGTGATTTTTTTTCATAAAGTCAGATAATGTAACAGAGCGGATGTTACAACAATGATTAAAAATATGTACAAAAATATCATTTCTCAATTTAGACTGAGCTACTTGCTCAAAAAGTGATTCACGGGAAAGCTCAGATGTACCTTCTGAGAACCCAGCAGAGAAAAATATATACAACAAAAATAGAATATTGGACGGGGTAAAACTCAAAATCTCAATTTAGCTTTTTCACCATTTCAAGTGCGGCTCAATGCTGGATTACCTATTTATTAACCAAGTTTATACTTTAATTTAATTATCAAAAGTTTAACTTAAATGTAAGATAGAGATAGAAAGACTTGTTCTGTCAAACCCCTGTCCCACCTTAATCTAAGTTTTCGTCAGCACCTTGACCTCTCTACGACTGTCCTTCTGACTAAATGTGCTAGAGCTCAGGTCTGAGAAGACAGCGCTTTTATACCTTTCTAATTTGCTTGAATTACTTGATTTTTATTGACTAATGACTAAAATCAACTTCTCTTTACGAAAGAGTTCCTAATATCTGTGATCATCACAATAGTTCTAACAAGTTTATCTTCTCAAAAAGATAGGTGAGCTAGCGCCGTAGCAATTTTTAAATTCAGAAAGGAAGGTTCGTGTTCAGCTAATTTATTTTGCTGAATTCTTTAATGTTTAATGAGTCTGAAGTCTGATGGTTAGAGTTATAATTTTTTGTGAAGTGTATTTTACAGAATTAAAATTATATTAGTGTGGAACTGCATTGTATCAATCGCTTATTGTGTCTTGCCAACAATTTTGAAAAGACGTTATCCAGGAAGGGGGTATTATTCGTAAGCTAGATGTATAGAATCTTAGCATTATATGACCTAAGTCTTTCTTGTGTAGTTTACTTTAAGGTGTAAGTTACACAGTAAATGAACAATCTTCAGAATCAAACAGTAAAGGCCAGTGTTATTTAATGACGCAACGGCATTGTTATCATACAGTATATCTATGGTCGTTTTCACAGACAGCTAGACCGTGAAGTATTCCCAGAATGCCCGACCGTGAAGTCGAGCATGCGTATTCCAGTCAAATGGACTAACGTAGTACACGTAGTTGCTAGCGCCCAAGAGCGCTAGCAATTACATGTACCTTAGAGATGCTTATGACAAAATATGCATTGTATAAGCCAGTTTTCTATTTTTAAAATATTACAAAAGAAAATAACTTGAGACTCGGTTATCAGTATATTAGCGCACTTCTTATACTTAAAGAGGAAGAACGATAATAACAAGAGGCTCATAGGCAACATCGCTCACCTGAGCATATTAACTAGAAAAAGGCACAAATCAGTAAACTGTTAAGTATTGAAAAGTAGAGCTTGAATTTTAAATTATTTGAGAATTCTTTCATATCAATAGCAATGGCTTTACTGTTCTTGAACAGATTTTTCCCTGTATATTCCATATTCCTTTGAAAAAAAATCCATCTCCATTATGGCCCCTCCCTACCCCTGGAATCATGATTTGAACAAATGTAAATCTACACAATCTAATTGTGGTGCTTTGGCAATGGTGTGGGTCCTAGTTTGGCACCACGTGGCTCCAAAAAACCCGGGAGAAGACAAGAACACGTCCGTCAGCTTCAGAGTTTAATTTTAGAACAACATACATGTAATTATTTTCACGCCGAACCCGACGGCAAATACACAATTGCACCACACTACTCCCCTCCCAAGAAAAAAAATGTTACATTTTCAACAAACACATAAAACAAATAGTACATGTACAAAGCAAAATGTTTAATTTAACTGTCAAATCTCTGTGGGCACCTCACCGCTCTCCCACACCTAGTGAATTCCCCTTGGTCCATTGGTTTCTTTGTGACAGGTACTACTGCATCATCCTTCTTGGAGGCTTTCCCTTCGTTCTGTAGGCTTGATTCTGTTGTCCAAACATCATCGTTTCCTCGCCTATCCTCAACTCCATCTGCACATTCGGAGGCTTTCTCTTCATTCTGTAGGCTTAATTCTGTTGTCCAAACTTCATCGTTTCCTCGCCTATCCTCAACTCCATCTGCACATTCCTTAGAAAGTTCGTCAAAGTCGTTACAATATTTTAACTGGCGATGAACCTTGGCAATCCATCTTGGCAGTGTTTCAACTTGACATGGCTTCACACGATCAACTTTTTTCGTTATCACATTATACAAAACTGGTCCCAACTTTTTTGAAACAACAGCTGGTCCTTTCCAGAGAGGCTGAAGTTTTGGGCTCTTCCCTTTCTTTTTAGCGTCATCCTTGATGTAGACGAGGTCACCAATATTATATGTTCTCTCATACAGCCTTAAATCATGCAATCTTTTCTGACTTTTGACTGCTTTCTTCAAGTTCTGACGAGCAAGATCCTCGCACTTCTTCATAGATATCCTCAGTTGTTCGACATAATCTGCTTCAGAATGCTGCTCAGATGGATGTAGCCCGAAGATGACTTCCTGTGGAAGGTGAACGTCATGACCAAGCATTAGGCGGTTAGGCGTTAGTCCTGTGCTGGTGTGCGGCGTACTGCGGTAGGCCCCAGCAAGAAGTGGGAGATGGGTGTCCC